GACATGGACCTGCTCGAGAAGGTCCACATGAGGGCCACAAAGATGGTCAGAAGGCTGGAACACCTCTCTTATGAAGAAAGGCTGAGAGATCTGGGGTTGTTCACCCTCAAGAAGAGCAGGCTTCGGGGACACCTTACAGCAGCCTTCCAGAGGGCCTAGAGGAAAGATGGGGAGGGACTCTTGATCAGGGAGTGTAGCCATAGGACAAGGGGTAACAGTTTTAAAATAAAAGAGAATAGATTTAGGTTAAATATTGGGAAGAAATTCTTCACTGGGAGGGTGATGAGACAGTGGAACAGGTTGTCCGGAGAAGTTGTGTATGCCCCATCCCTGGAAGTGTTCAAGGCAAGGCTGGATGAGACTTTGAGTAACCTGGTCTCATGGGAGGTACCCCTGCCTACCACAGGGTGGGTAGAATGAGATGATCTTTAACATGAGGTGATTCTGCCCCTCTGCTCCACTCTCATGAGACCCCACCTGGAAAACTGCATCCAGTTCCAGAGTCCTCAGCACAGAAAAGACATGGACCTGCTCGAGAAGGTCCACATGAGGGCCACAAAGATGGTCAGAAGGCTGGAACACCTCTCTTATGAAGAAAGGCTGAGAGATCTGGGGTTGTTCACCCTCAAGAAGAGCAGGCTTTGGGGACACCTTACAGCAGCCTTCCAGAGGGCCTAGAGGAAAGATGGGGAGGGACTCTTGATCAGGGAGTGTAGCCATAGGACAAGGGGTAACAGTTTTAAAATAAAAGAGAATAGATTTAGGTTAAATATTGGGAAGAAATTCTTCACTGGGAGGGTGATGAGACAGTGGAACAGGTTGTCCGGAGAAGTTGTGTATGCCCCATCCCTGGAAGTGTTCAAGGCAAGGCTGGATGAGACTTTGAGTAACCTGGTCTCATGGGAGGTACCCCTGCCTACCACAGGGTGGGTAGAATGAGATGATCTTTAACATCCATTCCAACCCAAACTATTTTATGATTTTAGCATGCCACTGCGACAAAAAAGATTCCCCAGATGGGCTCCCAGCAGTATTTTACTCTCTTCCATCTTATTATTCATTGTTTCGCATAGCCCATTTTTACCCTCTTCCCACACCCATGGTAAGCTCCTCCATCCTGTAGGTTCTAACCACTCTATGGTAACCACACTCCTCCATCCTGTAGGTTCTAACCACTCTAACATCTACTCCTTTATGGTAAAGGCAAAGCTTTGCTTTCATTGACATTTGAATCTCAACTCATTTCATGATGCTTTCAGTTGATACATTGAGCTAGAAGAAATATGGAGGTAAGCCTAGTTGAAACCCAGCATTTCTTATAACATTCACCACATTTGATATTGCTACAGAAACTGAGACAGACAAGCGATAACAACACTACACTGAAATATGTTTCAGCTTTCTCTAAGGGCTCCATTTCCTCAGGAACATTAGCTTACACTGTGATAGATAATAAGGTTCAGATTCATAGGTGTCTGCTTCTCACCCACTATACAGAGGAGCTACCTATGCATTAAGCAGCCCATTAAGGCTACATTTTAATGCCTAATGTTACAGCAAACTGAAAACACTGATAGCTGACTTGAAAATGCTGGACTGCCAAATGCAGTAATTCAAGAGGTGCTTCCCAAGCAAGGAAATAGCAGGAGAAGAATGAAGAGCCAGTATAATATGCTACCAGTCAACACAGTGTCAATCACTCCTACCAGCGAGCCAGAAACAATCATGTTTCACAAATACTACAAATTCCCCATTTTACTACTCTGTGGCACAGTGCAAGAGGTAAGACAGCCGAGGCAAGTCTGTGGTTTGCTTCAGGTCAGTGCCCTAACAGGGGCAAATTCCTTCCTAGTATACTTGAGCAGATCAAGTGACACATTGCTGAGACACAATCTGCAGTTCAAGGAATAATTTTGATAAAACCAGGCTGGGAACTGACTCATATGCTATTCTGAGACCTCACTACTGTATGCGGAGAAATAATTCTCAGCCTACTGAAACAGCAAGTTCTATGATCCTGAAAACACTTTAATGGCAACAAGCACTTAGACACAGGTTTAGTATTTACCTATCAAGTCCTAACAAAAAATCTCTGGGTTAGAAACAAAGGTGTTTTTTCTTCTCTTTCTCTTAGACAAAACCAATTAAGCTCTGTAATACGTAACATTAAATCTAATTCCATTTAACTGGCTGAAAAAAATTTTTAAACCAGTTTATCAACAAGTAACAAAATATTAATCAACATGAAAATAATAATGATCAAGGTAAATTAATTTAGAGAATGATCACAGATACCAGTGAATAATTAAACATAAACAAAATATTATTACTTCTTACGAAATTCAATACCATGTGATGTTGGGAGCAGCATAGAAAAGGACACCTTATTATAACCCTAAAATAATAATACCTCAATGAATTATTCGTGCTGCAGGGAAAAAACCTCAGATGAACTAGCACTGCATGTTACTTAAGATGCACAGATGCAAAGATGTTTTTCTTAAGGAAAAAGAAGGTCTTTCCTTTCTATTCCCATCAATGAAGTTAAGCAAACCACAGTATGACCTAGGTGGTATCCACCCTATTTTTCATTTACGAGAAACTTATATATCATGTCATCACGCCTCTCTGCACACTTAGATTAATAATTTTAACAGAAACCACTAGACTAAGAAGTGGTTTATTTTGTTGGATAGGTATTAACTACACAAAAAATCCAAGATACTGTATTAATATTACGTTCATAGAATATTCTACCACTGACATGCGAACACCAAAGCAAAATGACGGATGTCATTTTTATAACAGGCTTCCATAACTGGAAAAAGGTGTTATATGGCATTAATGTGGAAATGAAAAGGGAAGCTTTGAAAACCATCACCTTGATTCTTACTCCTAGATACATACTATTCAGCAGCATGCTATACGGTCAGCTCACAGCATTTGAAATCCAAGTTTCAAGATCTTCAGAAGTTTTCAAAGGTTAATTTACTATAAGAAGTGTGATTTTTATCATCAAATACTGCAAAACAGCATACAACAGCATTCAGAGTTGCAGTTCTTTATTAAGAAAGCGACTGTCCTGATGACTGAAGTTCTCTGCGTACCCATGGGAACACCAAAATGCACCATACCTTCAACTTGCCTTGACTAATACTGCCAGTTTTGTTAAGATAGAAAACAAAGTATTTCCACTACAAAGCATTACATCCTTTAGGCAGAGTGAGTGCTTCTGTTTTGTCTTGATCTGTTCACATACTACAGTAAACTTGGAGCTCTTTAACAATAGTACCAAAAGTGGAAAACCAAGACTTAAAACTTAGCATTTCAGCTATAGTTAAGATCCAGCAGAATATAACCTCTCTCTAAAAAGAATCACAGTTTGTATGTCTCCTCGGTCTTTCAGAAAAATCACACTAAAGACACGTCTCTCCTCTAGCTAATAAAACAATACCAAACTTCTAAGTATCACTTGTTAATCAAGCAGATACTATCAATAAATCATCTGAAAACAAGCAACCCAAGAACAATCAGTTAATTTTGAAATCAGATGATAAGGCAGAAGGTCAAGAGATTTTAGAAATCTTTTTCCCCAGAAAACACTAAAAGCTGATAGGAGGACTAGGCCACTACAAATTTTATGGAGATAAAAAGTGGGAATAATCTGGAAACCTTAATAATACAAGAAAAACCAAGGACAAAATGGGAAAATAAAGACATGATACAAAGTTTGGGAGTGTGGTTAACTATTTCTTTGATCACAACTTCCTTTTCAGAAGCTTTGCTTGATGAGTCAGAAAAAGCACATTTCTTAAAAACAAAAAGGTCTCAGAATAAAACCATCTTCATCTTTTCTTTCAGCTATAGCAACAGATTGTTTTAGCAACAGCAATCTGTTTGACAAATGAAAAGAAGAAATTACCAAGCATCAGAAGGTATGAAGAGTCACAAGGTGGTGAGTCACCATATAACAAGCCAAGCAAACTGACCAAGGAACTAAGTCTGCAGTTCTTGCATTACTAGAGGTGAAACATTCAGAAAAGCCACTTTTGGAACAGAACAGCTCCTCAGGTCTACCTATACTACAAGGAACAAACCAGAAGCCTGTGCACCTGCAGATAAACAGGGAATAAATTGTCATCTCCATGGCTAAAGCAACAAACAAGTAGATTATGTTGCAGCCATGATATTGTCCATCCATCCTTATCATCAGAAAATCCTTCCTAAAAAAAAAAGTCTGGAAAGATTGTTTTTCAATTTATGAATTGTTTTTCTTCATAAATCAAATCACAAAACCATCCAAGTTAGAGAGCTAGACTTAGCTGAATCGATCTTTGCAGTCTCTGGTTCCTCTCCCTTCAAGTCTCTAAGAACAGTCATAGTTTCATCAAATACTCTCAGAAAGTATTTTTTAGGTGAACTCTATTATACAACAGGACTTTAGAGACAGATTCATACTTTTGAAATAATTTACAGATAAAACCCCTCCTTTGCTTGGTTCCTTAGTAGTTCCACTCATCTTCAAGACTATTCACATGAGGCAGATAATATTCTTTTCAAAAATCAGCAAAGGAACCAGGTGTCTTCAGATAGTTCATTTACTAAGGAAAAATTATCAGATTTATGGGGTATGAAAGCCAACCACCTTGTAGGTGCGATACAGCTACCTTACACTGCCTGAAATTTGAAATATTTCATGTTCCAGTAAGCTCTGAGTGCTTATTTTATTGAAAGGAAACAAAGTCTTAAATATATGTTCTTATTTATGGAAAAGTATTAACATGCTCTTAAAATGAGATGCAGTAGACTTAATTTATGACTAGTATTTTCAAAAAAGATACCCTTTACACTAAAGAAAGGCATATATCCACCAAAGCCTCATTTTAGTTCATTTTAAAGGGATTTGACAATAAAAACTAATTAATACAATAAATAATTATGTAATACATTTAACGTACACAAAAAAGTCAATGAAATCAGGAAGGTGCCATGATGATTACCTGACAAGAACGAAACTGGTTGACTAGCAGCGTACATCTCTGTGGGTCTTTTCTTCCATCCAAACTGTCCAGTTCAGCTGCTACTTGATTTAGTTCCTCATCAGCGTAGTAGAATTGAGCAAGGAGCTGCGGGTCTGTTCTCTGCATTGAAGACAGAGAGATATATAATAGCACATTATTTTCAGAAATAAAACACCCCACACTGCAGCTAATTATATTTATTGTTAATTTTTACATTTAAGCTTAAAAAGTAGCGTGACAGCATGGGAAAGAATGATCTTGAGACTTTTAGGCGTACTTAAAATTTTTTTCTACCTTGAAGAAAAAAAACCTCTCACGGAACAAACTTGGGGCATTACTCAGCTACCATTACCTCCAAAAACCACCCCAGCATTCTCACTACTTGTGGCATAATTATTCAGCTGAATTAAATGAATCATAAGTTTTGTTTATTAAACAAAAGTACACTTCAGTTCTAAGCAAAAGACAAAGTTGCTTTCTAAGTTAAAATAAACACCCCAAATCCTACCAAGCCGTGTGATAATCTATCAAGCAACCTGGTAACCCCTGCAACATGATGCACCGTGTTATCTGGTCAGAACACTCTCTTCAAAGGATCACAAGAATCAAGCCACAGAAGGGAAAAAGTACTGAGTCTACCAGATGCGTTACGAGGGCTAAATAGATATAAAGATTTCACAAAGCAAATAATGACTAAACACAGCATTACAGACAGAAAACTACGCCACAAGTCTTTCAATTGGCAAAGAACGGAATTATCACAATGGATTTTTGGCCACATTAAAACAAAACAGCAATTAAAATAAAACAGAAGAATAAAAATATTGAGAAACGTTAATAATAAACATTTACTCCATAAAGGAGATTTTTTTTTTAAATATTAACATATTATTGTAAAGAAGCAGTCAGTAAAACACACACAAGATTTGCAGGAGTTGTATATAGAATGAAATCAGTTGGGTTTAATCACTGTGTAAGAAACATTAAGGCAACACTAACTGCAGACTGGGAATTAGAATTAGTTGTCACTAGATGACAGAAAAAACACCTCATATCTTAGAAAACAAATAGCTGCAAAGTATGTGGAACTGATTCTTAATGGACTGAAGAGAGAAACAATGCAAAAATACTTTTAGAAGGGCCAGGTTATATATACAACTAGTGAAAAAGCACACTAAGTTGCATGAAAGGAATTTAAGAAGTCTCAAACATCAGGTGAAAAAAAATATAGAAAAGAACATCCAGGTAAAGAAAATTATCATGTAAAAAGAAAGCATTGCTTTTATAAATTAAATAAAAATAGCAAAAGCATAGAAATCACCAAGAAAGAATACATTTTAAACTACACCTAATTAAGATGTACAAGATAAGTACATGAGAGCAAAACATGTACCAACAGAAAGTATAATACAATGAAGAAATTGATCAATAGCAAAACAGAGACAACTTTTAAAAACAACATTACCAAATGCAACAAATGGCAAAAATCAAAAACACTGAGTATATAGGGAGGAAGTATATGTTGCAAACCATAACATTTTCCATCTGAACTACAATACATTTCCACTACTGTAAAAGGATAGAATGCCAAAGTTCTTAAGGGATGGGCATAGGGATGCAGTGGGATCACAAGTGGTACCATCAGCAAACCACGGGTTTAAAGCACTTAGATGATAGAGGTACACTAGAGAGCTGAACTTTGTGCCTCATGTACTCCCAGTCCTGCAGCACCCATCCAGAAGACAAAAGTTGTTTGCAATAACATAAAAAGATGAGTAGCAAAACTCCAACAAAAGCAATACAGGCTCAGAAGTGGTGAGTACAATAAATGCCCACCAGAAATACTTGAAAAAAGCAGTTATTTTTGCTTCATACTTAAAAAAGATATATTTTTCAACAGAAGGTACCACAACATATTGCTAAACTCCCAATTGTTCTCTCCACAAGATACACATGCTGCAGAAAAAAAATTCTTTCAGGCCTTTTTAGTAAAACAGCATTAAAACCTGCACAGCTGTCTAGTCCCTGAAAAGGAACAACAGAGCATTAACACCTTTTGAAGGGAACAGTATACATCCTCCACACTTGACAAGACCAAGGAGGTAACTACTGCAAGTGTTTTACTGCCATAAGACTTAAGGAAAAACATTTAGTATAAGTGATGCTAAACCTTAGTGTTAGGTGCTGGATTGGTTCTCGGTCAGCAACTTAACAGTCTTCCACGAAAACAGAGGCACTGACTCCTGTTCCTATACACCTTGTGTAAGAATATAGTGTATTTAAGGTTACCTTTAACATTGCTGTAAGCTGTCAGGCTGCCCAGCAGCTTCTTACATCACTAGTTCCCACCACTCAAATTCTGAGTCAAGTCAGAAATGAAGCATCTTTTCAGGCAGTTGAAGTGTAGTAATGAAAGTCTTAGGGTTTTTTCTTCTTTAAACAACCACTTTCTACCAATTAGAGAGCCTTTCCAATCAATAAGCTTTCGATGTTGTCTTTTATTATGCACTTTAAGTTTCCTAAATGTAAGATGCCAAAAGTTTACACAGTCTTGAATAATATGTTCACTATAGCACTGACATAAAGGTGCCCAGGGAGAAGGATAAAGCTTGTGCTACATGGTCAGGGGAAAACCAAAAATGCAAGATGAATTATAATAAGAGGGAGAACCTAAAACTGAACCATTACTTTTTTTTTTTTTAGTTCTAAATTTCTGTATTTATAAAATAAGGCTTAGAAAAGCAATTCTTTCAGCATTTCCCCTACCCAATTACCTATATTATTTCTGATTTTTACTTTTTCCTTCAGCATTCACCTACATCCATTAAAACTTTCTAGACAAAGTTGTTAACCAAAGATGCAGGAGTTCACATGTGGAATTGTGGCAAAGCATGAATGCCAATTTATAAGCATCTAAATTGCAGTGCAGAAGCAAAATAAGGCAATTTATTAAGTCTGGTCTCAAGCAAAACAAGTAAGGCTGAGATATTGAGATACTTAGCTCCCACGTGGCTGATCTTTTAAATTGGAGGAACAAAAGTTTTAATTGAGTTCTCTCGACTGTGTTATGTATCATGTGGATTAGCAGCGTGATCTTTGATTAATCGTGTCAATCATATGTGGTCCCTGGTAAACTGAAGCTGCATGAAACTCTAAATCTCTTAGCAGGAGGTCATTTAAAGCAAATAGCCACAACTTTCTAAATTCAATTTGTTCCAATCAGTAGCAGAAAATAAGAGATAGCACCATGCTCAATGCCCATGTCTGCTTTCAGTTTATTCAAGATGTGGTACAAATAATTCCACCCAAATTACTTATTACTCTCTAGCAGAATAAGAATTGTTAATTCCCATCCTCAGTTGCTCAAATAAGACTTCATTTCAAGAAGACTTCATTTCAAAGCACCTAACAAGAGAACCTACCACTTACCCTAGTAGTTCGTTTCAGGAGTTAGTCACATTTACTATCAAATTAATGCATCTAATCTCATTTTGATTTGCTGGACTTCAACTTCTAGATATTGCTCTTGTTTTGCCTTTTTCCACTAAAGCATCGAGTACTTATGTTATTTGACCTATTTCTGTATCCAGATCACAGTATCCCTTGTACCACACCACCACTGTATGTTGCACATATGGTTAGCAGATTTAGGGGTGGTGGGTAGGTTTTTGGTTGGTTTTGGGAGGGGTTTTTTTGTGCATGGTTTGTGCATGGTTTGTTTTGTTTGGGTTTTGTTTTGTTTTTTAAATCTGATATCATCCCAAAACCTTACCGCACGTGAGCTATACAGGTAGGAGTTTCATTCTGTAAACTCCCTTCTAACATTTTATATTCCACATCCAACATTCAAAAGGAGCTAGTTCACCAAATGGTCCAGGTTATTCTGTGTAGCTACATTAGAGCATAATTTACCATACCACTAGAGCACATTCTCCACAGATTTTAAATTATCACTTCATATGTGGGCCATAACTTATTATCCCAAGTTGTAAGATATACACTGACTATCACTCCAGTCAATACAAAGATAGGAAGCAGCACATCAGTCAGTCACTTTACTTTTTTTAACATTTCGCCATGTCATGTAATACCACATCATTCTTTTTCTTTTATGAAAGATCGCTCACTGAGTATTTCTTTTACTGAGTTTTACATTTTATTAGGTACCACTCTCATTAGGCCAGAAATCAAGATCAGAAGACTACCTGACATATACAAGGTCAATTTAAAACTGTCCATGTGAAAAAGTTGTATTAACAATTGAACTGGTTACACTGTATTTTTGCCTATGAAGTCCTGCCAATGAATAGGGCTTGGTTAGTTCAGTTTGTTGCCATAATGATTCTAATTTGACTTTACAAACAGGATTTATACAGACTATAAGAGAACGTTAAAATAAAACCTCTTAAAAGACCTGTTACCTACACGTTATCAGAAAAGTAACAGATCTGTAAGATTACTTACTGCATGCTACCAGATAACAAGATAGTATTCTCACATCTTGTAAACAAGCTGGTCTATTAAAACCAGAAGTTGTTACTTTAAAAAGTGTCAATTAACTGGGAAAGAAAGAATTTCTAGCACAGACTCCTCAACACAGGACAAAAGCAAACAGCTAGACCAAAAACTGATACTACAAAGAGAAGTCAGAGTGCCAAGAGATCAATCTCAAGCCATTCAGTAATCCTGGAACTTAACCGTCACCTTGAATATCACATTTCCAGAAATAAGGGTTGTTTGAGAGGAGAATTTTCTCTTTTTGAAACAAAATTGCAAGCGTCTTGTGATTTTTAACAGCAGCTTTTAAGTATCAATACTGCTTCTTTTTCCACTAACACATAAAGTATGCACCATCTTATAAACATATATGACAGCAGCCCATAATTTGAATACTAAAGGGAACTTTTCTCTCAGGTTCCAGTGATCCTTTGTAAGGAAGTAAAGATATTGTTCTGGCTTTTTCTTCTGCTGACATCGCAACAGGAACAGAGCCCCCCACCACCACTACAGACTCAGAAGACATCATTGTCCCAAATGAGCCAAAGAATAGACTGAAGCAAGGGAATCATACAGATGGGCAAGATCCCAGATAGTGATATAATTATCTTCTGATGCCTGTC